GGGCCGGCCGGAGAGGATGTGTCAGCCAGGCGAGGGCGCGATCTATCGAGGCTGCTCGCACCGTCAAAGGTAGACTTGTAGATCACATCCTCGCCCTCGAGCTCCCGCGCCCACGGCTCAGGGTCGTCGGGCACGATCGGGTTGATGTTTAGCGAGGGGTTGAGCCGTCGCATCGTCGACACGTGCGGCGACGACTCGTAGCTCGCCCGGAGGTGCACGACGGGAATGCCCTCCTGCCTCGCACCCTCGAGCAGCGCTTTGAGCCTCTGTGGAAGCGCAGGAAAGGCCGTGCGGGCCCGCCCATTGGCCGCGTTGGAGTACCAACAGCGTTGTGCGTCGACGACGATGAGAGCGGTGCTGCCTCCGTTCGGAGGCGGCGATGCGAGATGGTCCGCGGCCAAAAGTGAGCGACGGCGCGAGCTGTCCACGCGTGGGTTTGGAAGGCGAAGCGCGTCGCGGAGGCCTTGCAGCAGCGGCATGCTGGCGATGGCGCTGAGAGGTTCCTCTTCCCGGTCGGCAAGGACCTCCGCCGTGGTTGGGCAGGAACCATCTCGAGGTCTCGAGGCACATCTCTCGAGGTTCTCGAGGTGGATATCCTTTGGCCGCGTTGGGTAGCGAGGATTGGTGTAACCCGAGGCACATCACTTGTAGTGAGCGTCGGGCTGGTGGTGTTCTCGAGGTTCTCGAGGTGGATATCCTTTGGCCGCGTTGGGTAGCGAGGATTGGGGGAGAGAGAGATGTTTGTTGTTGTAGGATTGGTGTGACGCGATCCACGCAGGCGTGTTTTCTGACGGCCGACCGTCAGTGCACGGAGTTGCCCCTTCTCCGACTGCCCCGGCTAGTTCCCGACTCGCATCGGTTGCCTCCATGAACGGCGGAGCTATTCTCGCGTCCACACCACCCTGGCTCCAACGTGGACACGCCGATACAAATGTTTTTTTCTTTTTCTCAGGACGTTGTCGCGGAGCTCAGCGCACAACCAAAGGGTACCAGACCGAATGTAAAATATCTATCAGTTCACTTGCTTACTATTTACACTACACAAACCGTTCACATATCGTTGGGGGGCTTTGTGCATGCTACGTTCACTATCGCTCGATCTGCCGCGGGCGGGGTGATGTCTTGACGGGAAGGGCATGCCGGCCCCGTCGCGACGCGGGGCGGGCCGCCGGCGTAGGGGCGCGCGCAACGAGCAACCACGAAGCGCCGTGAGGACCTCTCGCCAGGCGTGAGGACCTCTCTCGGACGCAGACGTGAGGACTGAGAGGGACTGAAGGTGAGGATCTTATTCGAATGAAGGCGCTGACTCTGGACTGCCGCGGGACAGACGTGGGGAAGGGTCGACGGGAACGGCGTGCCGGCCGTCGCGACGCGCGGTGGGCCGGCGTAAGGGGCGCGCAACCATCGCATGTGCTGCGACGGACAATCCACCGCGCCGTGAGGACCTCTTGGCGTGAGGACCTCTTGGAGGACCTCTTGGCGTGAGGACCTCTTGGCCGTGGTGAGTTTCTCGTAATTCTCTCGTAATTCAGTGGGCGTCTGTCCTGTGCTGGCTGGCCGTGCGCGGCACACGACAGGATACCGGGAGACGGAGTCTCGTCCCCGAACGTGGCCTGCCTCTCGGTCAGACAGGGCAGACGGCTGGGACGCGATCGCGATCAGCTTATGGTCTAATGTTTAGTTGCGTCTTGATTGTGCTGGTGTTGTGTTTGGTGTTTGTTGCACCTTCTCATATACAATATTGCTTTGTTGCTCTTGCGCGCGCTCTCGAGACACAGCCGCCCGGACTCGTTGTGCTCGATATTCAGTTGTCGCCCCTCCCTGTGCATGAGCTGCCTGCAAGCCACCGTGACAGCAGCGCCCAGATGATAGTTCGTATCGAAAAAAGAAATCGCGCGCCTTCGCGCCTCCAAGCGTTGACTGTCGGTCAGCAGTGCCGCGTCCCGTGAATTCGATGTCGCCCTCCGTCTTCGACGACGAGATCCGCGCCGCTCAGGCGCGCATCGACGCGCTGCGCCGCATCGCACGCGAGAAGGAGACGGCGCTGCTCCTCCGCCGCACGCGCCGCATGATAGCGGCCTCTCCGCCGCATGATGACGCGGCGTCGTGCGGCACGCCCTCTCCGCCGCTGCGGCGGCTGTCCTCCGACCTGGTGAGCGTCGAGGCGGCGACGCCCAACCGCCACCCGCTCGGCTCGCTCCAAGTCGGCGGCCGGCGAGAGTACCCTCCGGAGCACTCGAGCGCGAGCGGCGGCGCTGACCAGTCGCTGCGGGGGGGCTGCCGCCGCAGCTGCGCGGAGGGGGGAGGTCCGCAGCTCCTCGCGTCGGCGGTTTCACCCGAGCTGGCAGCCGCCTGGCGACGCGGCGATCTCTCTCCCGAGCTGGCGATGCGGCGGCTGGTCGACGGTGTCTGTGCCGCGGCGGCGGCGGGCGCGCACCGCGACCTCGCCGACCACCTCGACGCGGACGTCACCCTCGGCGGCTTGCTCGGCGGCATGGCGGGGGGAGTGCCTCTGGGCGGCAGCCACGCGGCCGTCCTCGAGCCGCTGCGCGCGCTGCTCTGCGGCAGCGCGGAGGCGGCGGCGGAGGCGGCGGCGGCACTGTTCACCGGCGC